TTTTGTCATTTCACAGACATGGGCAAGAAGAGCTGTTTAGACCGAGGGTGGGGTAACAGGGGTTGTTGTTATTTTGTTTTTAGAAGTCACATTTGCACTCCTCAAGGTATTCCCTGGCCATCCCTCCAGCCCCATAGCTCGGACCTGGGCAGCAGCAGTACGCTTCAGACCTACAGGACTGGAGATGCAAAGTGAGATGCAAAGAAGGTCTGTGGCCACCCAGCCCTGCCATGACCCCCCCAAATCCACCCCAACCCACTGGGCTCCTCCAAGCAGGCTGCCCTGCAAAGAGCAACCCCCTCCTCTGCAGCCGCTGCCTCCCGCCCCACCAAGCGGAGCAGGGACACTCGCTGCTGCTGAACGCAAGGAGATTCCTCCATGGTTCGGAAGGAGGGGGGCACCAGCCAGCCCCACGCAGCCCCACCCTGGGGCAGCACAGGCCAGCCTGGGCACGGGCTGGTTGCAGCAAATCCTGCCACAAACTCTGGATCCCCCATTAGAGCACTCTGGAGCACACCGGGGCTTTCCTCACTGCCTATCCTCTATCGCAGGCTCAGGTCTCCTCAAGTAGCAAAGTTATAAAAACAAGTCAGATTTTGAAGGTTTGACAAATGACATACCCAGGGCTTAGTCAAAAGTACAACAAAAGTTCATCAAACTGTACGTGTCTTTTCAAGATCAAAATCCCTTATAATTCTTTTCTTAATCCAAACTGTGTATCTTCATTTTACTGTATGATTTAACCTTGAGTTCTGAATAAAATAATTTACTGTATACCTACTCCATTCGCCTTTAAAATGAATCCACAATACAGATGGCTTGGCAAAAACTTGCACAAATGAGATTCTGTGCTCAGAACAAAGTCTTAAAGAAGGTAACTTGTATTCGAGTCATTACTGGGATACATTTCCCTTAGAAATAAAATGCTACCCTACAGCAAGGAAATAACAGCACCAGCTATTCTAAAGGTCACTTGAAATTCAGTCTTTTAAAGACCATACTGTATTTTGCAGTTATTTTAATTCTATTTTCAAAAAACAACTGCAAATAAGCACATGAAAGAGTGCTAATAATGTCAAATCAGTGCATTTGCTTCAATTAATTTTACAGTAACAAGAAAGCATACATCAATGTGCAAAAACAGAAAGCACAGGATGGCATTGGCCTGCTACTGTAATGAATCAACATCTACAAGTGTGGAGAAAAAGGTTTCCATTAAAAAAAATAAATTGTTTAATTAACACACAAGTGTTAACTGCCTTTAACACACAGTGTTATATGAGTAAAACCTGAAAGACCTATGTGACAAGCATGTCACTCCCACGAATATTTGAGTTATTTATCGATCACCACCTCCCGAGCCATGGTTTGCCTCTGTTTCCAGCGTGGCAAACAAGGTGGTGGTAGTTCGTTCTAATCCCA